GTATAGTGGACTGAAAGAGTGAAGAATGGGATTGTATTAAGAAAAGTGCAAATAAATGGTTTGGGAGCTTTTTTGGGGAGACGAATGTGGAACTGAAATTAACATTTACTTATATAGCAAAGAAAAAGGAATCAGTAGGTATATAATATTTAATGGAAAGAATGGGTCAAATCCGCTTTGATTCTTTATCGCCGTTGACTAATCCTGTATTGACTTGATGGTCCTTGAATCTTGATATCGCTCTAGAAACTTCGCTACAATACTACTAATGGCCGTTTGCATCGACGAATTTAAGCGGAGCTTAACTTAAGCGTAGTCCATTGTCTCAATAATCGTTGCCATGGACTCCGCTTTTTTTGTCGGTGCAAACAGCCATAAGAGTCCTAAGCCCTTGTTTCCGAAGACTGGTGACTGAGTAATTTGTGAAGAATATGAAGAATCATAAGATGCCCCAAATGTCTAAACGTTACACTATTTCAAAAACCCTGGAGACCATTTAAAAGCAGTAGGTACTTAGACTATGAATACGAAGATGACAACGAATACTCCAGAGCCCCTATAATTCCAAAAATTATTCACATTCCAAAAATCCTGTGGCTACTGAGAAATCTAAAAACTCCAAAAACCTTGAAGACACAAAATTGGAAACGCTGAGAAACTGAAGGACTCATGACTCAAAGAACTTTGGCTATCCGAAAAATTCTTAAATTAGAAAAATCCTCGAGGTCGTAAAGCAAGGGAAATCATATTTAACTTGAACTTCCAAAGGCGACTCAATGTGAATTCTTTTTTGATCGCCCGTTAGAAACAACGCAAATGTGTCTTTGTTCATAAGCTTTCAGTCGTTGATTTCCAGATTTGAACTATATCGTTTTATATGTATACTTGAAACAGTTTTTTTTACTAAGCACTTGTTTTTCCATAGAGATACGATCAAGTCACCAAGGTCAATTTACAGGTAAAGTAGCTCTGTTTATAAGATTCTAGGCAGATCTAGCCAGATTTTAATTATATCACTTTGTTCCATTTTTAATATCTACATACTCGTAGTTCACTAGTATATTAAGAAACAAGTGTCTTTAAGTCTTTAAAGCATGTGCAACGTACGGGAGCACCTTTAAACGTTACATGTGCTTTAAATACTATGAAATCATATTGACGTAATACTCGAATACTTATCTTATAAAGTGAACCGATTATGAATGACTTCGGTTGAAAAAGATTATACACCGGTATGCGGTAAATTCGCCCCGGAAGACTCGCCCCGGTAAATTCGCCCCCGGAATATTCGCCCCCAAGTAAATTCGCCCCCGGAATATTCGCCCCAAGTAAATTCGCCCCCAACAAATTCGCCCCCGGAATATTCGCCCCCGTAGCATTCGCCTCATAACATTTATTACCACTCGGAAGTAATGTTGGTTTAAATTAATTAAATAAATATTTGCAAAAATTACGATATTTGGAACTCAATACGGCGAGACTGACAATTCGAAATTGTTCATATTCAATCGTCTCTCACCTGTTAAAGGCTGATTCAACGGTTCAACGTCAACCGTATGTTTACAATACATTTTACAACAAATTGCGTTTACAAAGGAGTCTAATTACTCAGCCATTTATGGATGTATTGAAAGGTTTTTGGCATCAATGTACAAACAAAGGATGATTCTTTCTTTAGACTTACATTTCAAAATTGGTCCAGATTTGATGTAAATTTGTGTTGAAAAACACCAACATTGATGAAGTTTGCTGAAGTATCAAATCATAATTAAAATAATCTAAAAAAATCTAACTCCAAACATCCCACTTCTTTAAAATATAAAAAAAAGTTTGCTTACATATTTATTAGTTAAGTAGCAATTAGTCTGCTACGGTACTCTTGTACTCGTTCCAAATTCAGCCCGTCGGATCAGCCTTAAATTTGAGAATTTTTGTAAAAAATGTGCAAATGCCATAAAAGTTTTAAAATGTCCAAAGTATCCACTTGAGATCAAAAAATGTTGAACGTTGACCATTTACCAAAAATTTAGACCTTAAAAAGACAATGAATTTAGTATATACTTTGTGTCCTACTATTATGTATAAAAATGACATTACAGACACGTTTTTATTACTGATGCCATAAGAGTTCCTTTTTTGCTGTTGTCAGTTTGATTTTCAGATTTTTGTATTACGAAAGGTGAAATATTGTGTTTGATTTACAATAAAATAAACTCTTCGTCTATTAGGATTGTCATATTTAAAATCTTAGAAAATCGTGCACAAAATTTTGTTTTAAAGTAAATCTAACTACCTACTTAATTAAAAAATAATACAAAACTTACCAGCACCACGTGAAACCGATCTTCTTCAATACTCAAAACTATTTTTTTACACGGGTTTATACCAAACTCAAAATCCGTGTTCAAGCCAAGTATTGATCCGAAAGTTAAAAAAAGGCCGTAGAATCGTTAACCAAAAATCAAAGTTCGTATTCGCGCCAAATTATAACAAGTAGGAACATAAAAAGTTTCAAAACAAATACACCACCAATGACCAAACGAGCCATCAAACGTTCTGTTAGGAAGAAATTAAGAAGCTAACAACTCAGTCGATCAAAAATGTCATTTAAATTAGATTATATATTACCTTCTTTTGTAATACAAGAGTTAAGGTGGATTTTCCATATGTCATGTCTGAAATAATAGAAGTCATTAAATCATTGTGAATATAGGATTTATTTCCTTTGGATGTCAAATCCTTTGCAAATTACCCTTACTTTATTCAACCTTATCTTAATTACCTATTCATATTTTAGTTAACAGGTATTTGAGTGCTATTATTCTACCCCCTTTATGTAGGTATACACAGTTATTACAAAAAAAATTAAAATTAAACAAAATTCATTTTATGAACTGCTGGCCCTGTTACCTCCGAGGATTAATAAATCTTATGGGGCGAATCCTACGGGAGCGGAATCGCAGGGGGCGAATCTTCCAGAAGCGAATTTGTCGGGGACGAACTTGCCGGGGCGAATTTTCCGGGGCGAATCTTTCTGTGGCGAATCTTTCTGGGGCGAATCTTACGCAGGCGAATAGTCCGGGCGCGAATTTACTTGGGGGCGAATTTTCCGGGGCGAATTTTCTGGGGCGAATCTTACGGAGGCGAATAGTCCGGGGGCGAATTTACTTGGGGGCGAGTTTTCTTGGGGGCGAATATTCCGGAGGCGAATTTTCAGGGGCGAATTTACCGGGGCGAATTTTCGGGGGCGAATCATCCTACAATCTATACACCGTCTATTCAGTGGCTTGTTGCAAAAGCAGAAGAAAAGTTGGTACCATGCAAAATCCAAATGAAAATCCGGTTACGTGACTTAAATAAGCCCCCCAGGTACGATCATGAAATTAATAAAAATGGCTAAAGAGCATCTTAATTAAGCATATTCAATGGCTAAAGAGCATCTTAATTAAGCATATTCAACAAAAAACATTTGCGGGAGAAGTCCTAAATTTTTCACAATCTTACTTAAAAGTTTACTTCATTTCATCGAAATGTGCGATTATCTTACTCCAAATTTCATGATTGCTTTTAAGTTGGTACACAGTAACATTCCTGAGTGCCAACTTAATTTCTGAAGAGGTTATGTTATTTTTACACGATTTAATAAACGTTAAAAAATGATGTACATGATGATACATGTGTTTCTAATTATACCATAATAGCAGTAAGTAGTTCTCTATATAGTTTACATCACTCATACTCATGTGTACATTATTTACAGGTGGGCAGCAATTTTCGAGTTTGCACTTAATTTTTTCATTTGTGTAAAGGGCCCCACACGGTACCATTGATCAGTCGTTTCAGACCGATCGAAAGGACGAATCGATAATGTATGTTAAGGTCGTTAACGCTTTACTTAAACAATCGTAAGTTACATAAATTACGTTTGCGAGTTGGGGAGAGTTTCTTTTGTTGAGTGGGGACGTTTTTAACGCGTCCTTTCGAAGCTGTGATTATCAAAGCTATTGGTCATTGACGAAGTTTATAAAATTTTGTGGTGGTCCTTTAAAATACTGGAATCAAGGGGAAAAACTCGGCTGGTTTCGTGACGGTTAAAGAGCGTGTAATGTGTTTACGCTAAATTCTCGGGCAGTCAGCCATATTTGTTTGGTTGAAGGCGCAGTTCGTAATTTTTTATAATACATTTGTGCAGAAGCAAGTTCACCAAAGTGGTGTAAGAAGTTTAACTGTTGCTCGATTACGCAAAAAGTTAAAAGTTTCTACCGTCCGAACAGTAACCGAAAATTTGATATCTTATTGATCAAGGCAAGGAATTTTTTATGTGGCTTCTTCATTAGCGGATCCGTAAAATAATGTGCCATTTGTGTTAAGTACTTAAGTACTTAAAACTCACAATACCGTGCAATTTTGGCGCGGTGCTATTCGCTACTTAGCAGCACTCGATCTTTTGGACGATATTAGATAAGGCCTCTGCGTTAGTATGAATCAAATGTCATATCAAACTAATTTAAACATTTCAACTAAACCGGGCTCATTGACTAACCCGTATGTGTGTGTAACTTCCGAGATTGATCTCTAATTCCCAGATAGTTCGAATATTCAGATGAATGCGTAAATTTACAGCTACTTACATCTGCAAATTAATAAAAAATGTATGGTCTTCCGCTTTCGTAGTGTTTTGGTGTTGACTGTAGGTTGTTTTACTTTAACGTCCATGAATTGTATATTGCAATAGATAAAAAAATAGAACACACTACAAACTTAAAATTGACGTCAAAATCCAGCCTTTGTCGTTTTCAAACACGGCTCATGTACCTATATGATGTATACGCTCACTGTCAGTAAAATGAAACTTTACGACAGACTGCTTTGCAATAAATTCCCTAAGAAAATCATTGCATTTCAGGTACGGTTGTGAGAAATTACATACTGAAAATGGAAGGCACTACTTCACAGGTTGCACAGGGAATAGTAATATTTTAATAGTAAGAGTAACTTACCTTGTATTGCTTCAGCTGCTTGTAATCTCTAAAGGCTAGTTCTTTATCAAATAAAAATTCTATTGGCTGTAAGTGGAGTGGAACGTCTACGGTGGAAACCATCGCAACAAATGTCTGAAAAAGAAAAAAATGAGTTAGTGTAAATCATTTGTAGTCAGAGATCGATTACATCTGCATCCCATACAGCAAAACTAATGTGCTTCATATCTGTTTGCACTTTGCGAAGGTAATATCTGAGAAAGCATTTATTATGCAATGGTCACGTTTGCTTATTTATATATTTAGTTTTACCGATTCCACGAGTAAGTACTTATTATATTATCACAGTCACATTAATACTTTATTCTGGGACATTGAATAGATCTTAAAAATTAAATTCAAAAACCGTAAATACAATATTACTAATATTAGGCATTTGATCGTCTTAATAATATAATATAATATGTGTGTTATAAACACTAGGTATACTGACTACTAAGACTGATATAATTAGTAATGTGAATTGTGAAACGTAAATCCAAGTAATAAAAAATCCAATAAATGAAAAAAGATCACACATTGGCGGGTAATTTATCCGTATAAATAATTAACTTTACATACTATGCACTGGCAATAATAATAAGACAGGTGAACCATTCAAGAAATTGAAGGTAGTAATATTGGTATTTTGTGTTGTGGAAAATACCTATTCATCAAAGATTGATTGTGAACTTTCACTTCTGATAAATTTACTAGTAGCGTAACTATTTACACACTCCATTTTTTTTATTTTTAAGTTAAAAATGGAGGCTTTATTTGCGACACACTATTTTGGATGCCTACATTCAATATTGAATGAGCAAGACTATTTTTAAAGTTTACGTCTCATATCGCCAGCTGTCGAGTTCAATATTCTGTTGGAACAGGTGACTTTGAAGTAAATTTTTTTGGAATTAACGAAGCAATTCTTTCAAAGCCATTTCCCTTATATCTCGAAAAATTAAAGTGATTTCCGTAGAAAAAAGGAGGTTTAGTTGTGAAGCTTACGTTTCAATTCAATCTCAATTAGGCAAATTGCCAACGTAAAGGGACTATATGTAAATTTGTAAAAAAAGTAACGTATGGGCGAAAATTCATTGAATTTGAACAATCCTTGCCAATGACGCACGACAAAGAAAATATAGTAACTTGTTTGGCTCCAACGATGCTATTTTGAGAATTTCATTCAATAAAATAGAATCAACCTTCCGAATATCGGGAACTTTTTAAATCGAATACCCGGTGGGGTCAATTCAATTCAACCCCAGTGTTTATTTTACTTATAGTGAGGCTTACCATAATTGTGTGGCACTAAACCGGGACAGAGCCACTAGTAAACACAATCAAGTATAAATAGTACACAACTCTTACTTAAAGCGCATTTTTCTTAACGGAAATAGCTTTTGTTTTGACATCACCAATGGATATATTTCTTGCAGACGTCTCAATCGCTCTTTGTGAGTACCCTCTTCCGACAATCCGTTCTTGAGGTATACCTACTGCAAAAAATTCCAGGACTCTAGGACCATTCCCCTAGAAGTAATTCGAAACGGCAGAAGTGGGTAAAATGCAAAATGCGCTAAAAATAAAAATTGTAGGTAAAAAATGTTTTATTCAAACAACCATTTACACTCATTTATCATACCAATCGTACTTTGCGTTTTACTTTTGTTAACAAATTATTATGTTGCTTAATTTTTTCATAAAAATCACTACAATTTTTTCATAAAAATCACTACATGTAACACGGTTATTGTGTCGAGGGGAAATATTTCGTCAATATATCTAGAATTTTACGGTAATTTTGTATTTGCATGTTCACGAGTAAGTAATTCAAGAACAAGCCCAGTTTTGAAGGCACACTTCAGAGAAAGAACAAAAAGAAGGTACAAGTTCTTACGAAATATTTGGAGTTTGCATTGGAAAAATAGTGACCATACGAAATGAAATGATGAGTACTTTATACGACGTTTTGTCAGCAATTATAAATTTTATATTGAATGGTAATTAGGTCATATATTTTCTGTTTTTTTAATAGAAACACTCCATCAAACCGGTGGATTGCAAATTAATTTCGACATCACCTTTGAAGTGGATTTGATCAATTTAATTAGCGTGAAAATGCAAGAAGCAGACAGTACAAACCCATAATAAAGTCGTTCAATTTATCCAAATGAGACTGCAATTATGTCTAAAGGTGAAAATCAAAGGTAATTAGAACTGCTTTCCTGTTACTTTTTACTAAGAGAGTCAATACGCAGCTTTTTTTCGCGCGCTGTTAATAAAGTTCAATCAATTCAATATGACTAACTAGGAATGTAATCAAAATTGATCGCAATTTATATGTGCATACATCAGCGCCAATAAAAAAAAACTTTCATAACTTAAAATATGCGGCACATGTGATGATCAGAATACCTGATTAACTTCGTCAGTAGGAATTTCTCTGATGAAAGATCATTAGCATTTCCCAACCGGTTTAAAAGTTTACTTCCTTTGTGAATGTCAGATTAGATTTAGTTCATTAATTAAGTTTTTGTTGTTTTTAAAATTAGTCCGCTTCAAAACCATACCTAATTAGGATCTGATTACTAATGAGTGATGTAAGAGGTGAAACGTTTAGAGAACAACATTCGCGACTTTAGGCCTCTATCATTATTTATTATTAGTAATTTGCATTTATTACTCAGGTAAAAATTGCAATTGAATTGACACGAGATAAAGATTAGAATATAATTATTGAATAAGTAGGTGTGCACGAATATATTAATTTTATATACGCCGTTGTCCCCAATAAAAGTTCTAATTGGAACTGGATCTAATCATTTCGCTCATTTTGCAAATAGGTATACAGGTTGAACATTTCTTCTTCAAAACATGATTTTTTAAAGGAAACTTTGTATGATATCCAAAATTATAAAAAGGTTGCTACCAATCTACATAGGTACTTTAAATTTCTGGTCGGTGGCGTACTTCTGCATGGCATTTTTTTTATGGCAACTACTTTTTCTATTATATTTGTTAACACATTTATTCATTCATTATTTTCATTTTTGTAGATGTTAAACATACAATTATTCACATTATTCAATATTATATTGGAGAAAGAAAAGTGCTTGTACCTCCGAGATCCAGAAATTTTCTGGTAGAAGACCTTGGTGGTGTAGGGTTCGACAATAAAAGTGCAGCAATCGTCGAAGATGACACAGTAAATGTTGGGACATTTTTTGCAGTGGTTCCCTCATCTTGGAGTATAGTACAGACGTCAGACATGTTTTTACAAAATAGAAGCCATCAAACGTGTGAAACCGACATCCAACCTACGGATTCTTTTGAAAAAATTTTTTTCTACAATTTTTTACACACTGGTACATAACTTTACTCGCTTTAATCTAGATTGCGATAGACAATATGATATTACGACCGTGATGTCTGGTAGTCACAAAGTGCAAATTTAAAAAAAAATTGAAAATTCGGAGAAACCTAGCTAGAATCCACGATTTAAAAAAGTATAAACATTCTAAAGATTGACGGAGCTGCATAATATAAAACTCAAAAATCAAAAACTTCAATAGATCCAATTTCAAAATTTTGTACCTATTTTAAAGTTTGAATGTTGAAAAGTTCTGCAGAAAACTGATTGATTGGGAATGGTCCTAAAAAGCAGGGGCGTATGATCCAAGCGAATGCCTTATGGCATCACTCATTGTTTTAGGTATCTCGAGTTGGTGCACGTTTTCAAATGATTAAGGTTGCTAACACTCAGATCGCCTAACTGGATTTTTACTGAAGAATACTGATTGAAGTCTTCAATTTTGGTGGTAGAACTTATCATGTACCACGAACTATCTCTGTAAACAGTCTAAACGTTGGGTCAATTGTTTTTTATGGAAATGGGTATTACGTATACCAAAATATCACCGTCCTTCGATTGTCCATTGGGCGGAATAAGATTATAAATTCGTTCGCTGCATTTCTTATTAAATAGCGGAAGTTTTAGATCCTGTTTTAGATAGATTGAGCCTGCTTTTCTGAAATGGTAATATCTACCTTTTCGTTTGGATGTATCGGTAACGAGATCTTCTCATAACTTTCGCTAGTTTTTCACTATCTTTTTACGGTTTTCCTGTCTTGGCTAACATATTCACTTCGTGTGTCCAAAGAGGGTACTACAAAACTTAATCATTCAAAAAATCACAATTTCAAATACTGAAAAATTAAAAACATCAATCAAAAATTTCTAATAAACGTTCCAAGTGTTAACCTCCAGATTCGAAAAGATTCCTAGGAATTCGGAAGGAATCTAAGGAAACTTTTTTAAAGAAAATTTTTGTAGGGAATGGTAACTTCTGACAAGATGAAATTTATGAATGAATTTATACCTTGGGCTAAAAAAACCCATTTGTTCTTTTTTAGTATCCCGGGAGGTTTTCAGAAATCCACATGCCATGAAGCTGGCTGTTATCGCTATACGCTTGCTTTTGTATCAATTTTTAATTTAATGATCGTCCAGTGAAGTCTTTACGTGTGCGCGGCCTTTCTCATTTTGTTTACCATCTGCATCTCATTATATAAATCAAACGCTGTTTGCATATTCGATGCACACGTTCCGAAGTAAATTTGTGTAGCTCCGTAATTAGAAATTCTCCGCTAGTTCTCTAAACGATGCATTTTTGTACAAAATGACCAATAAATTTGCTAATTGGAAGTTTAAATCTAAAAATTGAAGGACGAACTGATCTATAATTTCGTGAAGTGACCCAAATTTCTCCATCACTGTATCGTCGACGTTTAATCGATTGGAAAATGTTCAACAAGAACAACAGAAAAGTATTAGACTTTTGTGATCTAGTTAGGCTGTCGCTATGATTTGGGTGGCCTTATTTGATTAATGTTCAAGTGTTAAATTGACCGTTATGACCTAGAACCTTTCCAAACAAAAGGACCAAACGAGAGACTGAGAATATTTCAGCATATGTCAACTATAAATATTCCTCTTGCCTTTCCTTCGTTCCGCGAACCCTCGTAACCTGCGTATCGTTTCCCAGTTCACGTGTTTTAGAAACGCCACATAATCCGACTATATATTGAATTAC